AAATAATTAAAAAATGAGTTCAAGCTTGGACAAAAATAAAACTCATCTTGAATCTAAAACCAATTAACATGTAGAATGCGAATTGCATTTTATCCTGCAAATAATACAAATTTTAAAACTTCAAGCATAGTCTCCATTACACCGATTTAAAAAATATTGTCAACTAGCACTTACAATTAAATTGTTCCCTTTTGGAACATTATACCACAATCAACTTAAATTAAACAAAAGAACTGCATTTTTTCTGTGTTAATGAGAAAACTCGATTCTCAGCTTTTTTTTCTTTGCGGCCCCATTGTGAAAGTAAGTCCCAAAATAATTGATATTTATAATAAAACTGAAATGGTATCAAAACATATTTTCAATGTCATTTTAACCTTCATGTAATACTCCTATACAACCTCATTATAAATGAAATAATTAATCGTCAAGTTCATTTAACAAATTTAATGATTGTCCGCGATGGACAGTTTTAAATAAAAACACTCTGCTAATACAAAAAATAATGTAATGCAATATATTTTAACCGAAAATTGATTAATTTATTAATTCTATTACATCGCTATTGCTCTTGTCCAATCAGAAACCAGAACAACCAAATAACAACACTAAGCGAAGACTTCGGATATGCATAATTAGTATTCTTGCCCAATTTCTAGTTAAAGAAGAGTTAATATCGAATTCTTCTTCTTTCTCATAGTTAACACAAGTACTGTAGAATTCGTCTGCTGTACGTGTTACAAGATTTACTGAGCTTCGCGACAGATTTATTAGTGTATGGGTCTAAATGCATTAAGTGCTTATTGAAATATGAATAACCACAACTGTGCAAAAACAAATGCATGCAATTTCTACTACTACTACAATTAAACAAAGCTCATTGCATGTTAACCAAAATGTGACTTCTGATGAATCATTTATAATATAGAATAGGTATGTATATTTCAAGCTCAATTATAAGTTTTGTGTTTAAGTTGATATTTTGGTTGTTCGTATAACAAAGCGAATTGGAATAATTCTCCAATGATTAATTAACAATATTAATTAAAGCGTTTCAGGCCCAAGGCTTCTGAATGGCTAACGGTATCGTTTGTAATATACACACCTTAGGGCAGTCCACAAGTTGTTGTGAAAACTTTAAAGCCTTTATAATTGGGAAGCATTAAGCGCATCTGTGCATTGGGATGGATTCGCAATTTTTTTGGGGGAGTGGTGTGTTTGCATAACTGCTAAAGTGTTAAATTTATTGTTCGCTTTTTAAAATGTGCAGGTCAGTGTGGTTGTTGAAGCTGCTGTTGTTTTTGTTGTTTGTGTTGGTGTAGCTGTTGTTTTTGCTGCATTGTGGCATTTGTTGCATATATTTGGGTTCCGACTGTTGCCTGTCTGCATGCTTTCATTTTGCATACGCTGCGGTTCTTTTAGCGCGCATTCATTCATTATATTTGACTGGCAGTCCACATACACCAGATCGGGAGTGTGTGTGTGTGCATGTGTGTGTGTGTATGCGAGCGTATGCGCCCGTCTGGTGTGGCAATAAAAATGGCTTGCATATTTTTCACTTTGTTATGCATTTTTATGCCACTTTTGTTACAACAACAATTACAAATAACTCTCTGCGCATAATGGCCACAATGTGCCTATATAGATAGATACATATCTGAGTGCGTTAATAAATGTGAGTGTGTGTACACGTATGCATGTGTGTGTATCTCAGTTGAGCATGTGTAGCGTATTATGCGCTTATATTTCACTGCACCAATTAGGGCCAACGACAGCAGCCACAGCATAACAATGCTGTTTATGTTGATAATGCTCTCGTTGTTGCTATTACCGTTGTTACCGCCAACGACAGTAATAAAATAATTACTTAACATTTCATCTATCTATAAGAATAATTAATATTTGCAAAGTTCTTCATAATGATGCCTAATATACAAGTAAGGCGAATGCTAACCATCTGCCATAATTTCATGTCTTCATGATCTGCAGATTCTACGAGTATTATTTTGCCATCTCGAAAATATTTGGAAAATATTTGGTAACTGTCTTGAGAATGCTTACACCTATTTCGTGACTAGTGCATTAATTTATAAGAATCTTTCTTGTCGCACTAGGAACTAATAATAAATAAATAAATAAATAAATAAATAAATAAATAAATAAATAAATAAATAAATAAATAAATAAATAAATAAATAACTAAATAAACAAATAAATAAATAAATAAATAAATATAAATCATCTCTGGGCATCACAGCTAATTGCACTTAGAAGCGAAAAACTACTTGATTGAAAATTTAAATTTGAAATTAATAAATCTTAACAAAAACTTTACTTCTTTGTTATTTTAATGAAGATTTAATAGAAGATTTACATTAATACGTCCGAAAATAACTTTATTTTAAGCATTGATTTGCCCGAATCTTTACTATTTAAGAACAAGTATTTTTTAAAATATGTGTGTACTTGTACCATTTTTCTATTAATCGAATTAGCCGAACTGAAAAGGAGAGCCAAAGACAATACATATTTAAAGATGAGCGGAGGTGATGATCTAATAAGCAAAAGCATAAATATTTTATATATTGAAATATGTTGGGTGAAGAAGAGAATTATCAATTAAAGGTAATGTAGTTTACGCTGTAGTTATGTAGATTCTGAACGGCACTGATCGCCATCAGTAATCGTGTTTGTCATGAGGCCTAGGTTGCATTCTGTGATTTTATCGGCATCTTATCGGGTCGCATAGGAAAGGCAATAAAAGTAATATGGTTGTACAATTTTAAATTTTCTTATTGCATAAAGTTTGGATTCGGGCAACATTGCAATCATGACTTACTTACTTGTAAAGTCTAAAAATTAGTGAACACCTTTAAGTGAGCAGCCTTTGAAAACAGTGTTAAGAAATGCATTTCGTAATTATTGTTGTAACAGATATAGTAAGAGTATGCACATACGTTTGTACATAAGTACTACATAACAGGTTGGCCCATAATAACTTGTTTCATATCAATCATATCCATATCAATCAATGCCAAAACACACACATAGCGTTTTTATGGAACCCACCATTTATTCCACTCGAACGCCAGCACTCGTCGTTTAATTGATATGGATTTTTATTAAAATTTCATTATTCACATTTTCAGCATTATTGAAATGCATAATGCCCTGCAAATCTACATACATATACATACATATGTACAAGTATGCATGAGTGTGTGCTATGAGCTCCGTATAAAAATGTTTGGCGCTTATTAAATTATCCAATTACAGAGGCAACATGAATACAAAAATACATACAAACATAATATACATATGTGCATGAAATTTGCGTATTTTACTCTTTGAAGCAAACAAATTTAAAATGGTTCAAAATACAATGTACGCACGATTTGTAATGTTTATTGTTGTTAATTTTGTTGTTGGTACTGCTGCTGCTGTTGTTGCTGTTAGGGAGAAATGGCAACTGCGAGTGTCGCACATTTTGTTTTGCGGAAGCAACAAACAGAATCACCGACTTTGGTTGCCTGTTTGGCTGTTATGCGGTTTTGGTATCGGCAGCTCGGCCCCGGCTGCTTGCGGATACGCTCTTGGGCGTGCTAGTGGCCACAACGGGCGACAGCGACAATGATGGTGGCAGGTTTATGGTGCTGTCGATATGTTTTGCGAACGCACGCATTTTTGTGGTCCATTAAAACGGTCAGAGGCAGCAACAGCAACAATCATGTTGCTGATTACGCGTCAGACGCACTGAATGTAACTAATTTTGTGGAAATTGTAGCAACTGCAGCTAACGATGAACAGTGAAGGAACAGTGGTACTAAACTTAAATCTTCATTATTGTTTAGTCGTTGTAAATGCTTCAACTTTTCCATTTTCAATGTGGTTGCAAAATGAAAATTTTCCAGAAGACGAATAAATAAAAGCAAATTGGTATAGTTTAGTTAAGCCTTGTTTCAAAAGAAATAGTACTGAGCTACTAAAGCAGATTCCATTAATACACAGTTCCCATACATATGTATGTACATGTATATACTCGTTTTTAAGTATCCGAAGATTAGACAAAAATGCCAAAAGACGAAGATGCAGGTTCTGTCTTCATTAGAAATACGTGGACTGCTGATTAAGGTAGGTCAGTATCTTCAGTTTCAATGCTTAACCGTTGCCCCCCTACAAAAACATTTTCCATATAAAGTCGACCACACGTTCATTATTATGGCGCACTATTTCGCCTTAAAATGGATCTGAGGTGGATTTGTTGAAGTTTTTTCATTGGTGATATGCATAAGTTATTTTTTAAATGCATCATGCATTATTTAATCAATAATTTAATTTTTTGGCAACTGCTATTGACTGCTTTTTATTACTACAAGTATTAGTAGAAAGAAATGAAATTGCAATGGAATTGTTCCCCATTTTTTTAAAATGTCGTTTCATAAATTAAATTAAATTCAAATACAAGACTTGCATGCATGGATCGAAGATCGAGAATTCCATTGATGCGACACCACTGTGCGCCGTGTTGGGGGAAAATGCGTGGAAAGCGCATTCGTGTTCATGGGCACAAATATAGAAAAAACTCTACAGAAAAGACCAAAGCAAGGTCAATGGTGGCAGTAGCGGCAGCGGTGGCGGCACGGGATGAGCAAGTGCAAACGCTCTCTCTCTCTCTCTCTTGTTTACAGCGCGCTCTCCCGCGATCAACGTCATCATTATAGCAACAACAGCAATTGGATGACTCACATGGCGAAGCAGGTCACACATTTTATTCGGCCGACAGTGTGAGGCGAAAGAGATAGCACTAAGTAACTTACTTTTGGGTCAATAGCTCAAGTGCAAGCGAGATGGCTGCACTGCACGATCCACAGCACACCAGCAGCGGCAGCAACAGATGTCGAAAAGTAGCGACCAGATACAATTTTAATATCAGGCCCGCCGTTCAGTGACGGCGTAGATTTCATAGCGTTTGGGTGTGTTTATTTGTATCGTTCTCGAGCAGAATCTACACACACACACACTCGCACACAAATAGATGCGGGCATCGTTCAATTAAATCATAAAAAGTGAAGCTAATCAGAGTCGAAAGTATTTGTGGTTTCGGTTGCAACTACAAAGAATATTGATTAAAATACATAATTAAATAACGCCAACGTGCCAACGTGCTTGCCTTGATTAATTCTCTGGAAGTGTGTGGAAATTGTTGTATAATCGCCAAAACGCCAACGCGAGAACTTGTTGAACGCAAAAAAAATTAGTCGACGCGCAGCATAAGCAAAAAAAAAACTAAATTAAGAAAAAATCGCGTCTCACCTCTCTCTGCCCTCCGCGCTACCAACTCGGCGTGCGTGCTTGTGTGTGTGGACAACATACATACACACATATAAATTAATAAACTACCTACAGCGGCTGCCCAAAAAGCTACCACTAAAGCAAGTAGAGAGACTACGTCATGCAAGCGATCAAATGCGTTGTGGTTGGCGATGGCGCCGTGGGCAAGACCTGCCTGTTGATCAGCTATACGACCAATGCCTTCCCTGGCGAATATATACCCACTGTCTTTGACAACTACTCGGCCAATGTGATGGTCGATGCGAAGCCCATCAATCTGGGTCTCTGGGATACAGCCGGTCAGGAGGACTACGATCGTCTGCGTCCACTCTCCTATCCACAGACCGATGTCTTCCTCATCTGCTTCTCGCTGGTCAATCCGGCCTCGTTCGAGAATGTGCGCGCTAAGTGGTATCCAGAGGTGCGTCACCACTGCCCCAATGTGCCGATCATACTCGTCGGCACGAAGCTGGACTTGCGCGACGATAAAGCCACGCTCGAGAAACTGAAGGACAAGAAGCTCACACCCATTACCTATCCACAAGGCTCGGCCATGGTTAAGGAAATCGGTGCCGTCAAGTATTTGGAGTGCTCCGCACTCACACAGAAGGGTCTGAAGACTGTTTTCGATGAGGCTATACGCTCAGTACTGTGTCCCCCAAATCCCAGGCCTAGGCGGAACAAGTGCGTCCTACTGTAGATATATATACACGATAGCAACTTACAAAAATATCTAATATACCTATGTATGTCTGGGCGTAGGGTGAACAGAGACGCGGGAGCGGCGAGTGACGAAGTTTGTTGTTGTTATTGTTGTTGTTGTGGTAGTGGTAGTGTACAGAACAAAGCGCAAAAAATTTGCAAAACTGTTTCGTATTTGTAGTTGTATTGTGCTTATGTGTGCATTTATGTATGTATATATACGCATGTATGTGGTATTCGTACAGTCGAACCTCTCTATAATGGATACATAAAGTTTAATTAGTTTATATTTGTTTAGCCAATCTTGAACTTTAGTGCATGCTAAGTTAAAAGGATTTTATATGTATTTTGATTTTTTTATATTCAAATAGCTTAGCTATAGCAATATATTTCTTTTTTTAATGAATCTTGGAATCAACCGAAACTATATAGAGAAAAGCATGCAAAGTGTTTTCAAAAAAGGTCATATGGCTTTACAGTTTTTTAGTTGCTTAGAAACCGACTAATGTTGAAGAACATAAATACATATAAAATATGTACATTTTTACTGATAAATATTGGAAATATTTATGGATATCACGATTTAATGAAATTCACAACCAAATAAATCCAATTGGGATAAATCAACTAATTCTTCGTACGATCAAAGCACTTAACATTTAAGCATAAAGTAGAAACAAATACCTGGAAAAGTGAAAAGCAAGTGCATTTTTCTGGGCATACTTTAAATGCGGATTTCCTTTATAGAGAGGCCGATTGTAGGAGGTTAGTTGGCTGCATTTGTGTATGTGGCACACAGTCACCAAAGTATTTCGGTTTTTATTGGCTGCCCTCTGTGGGGGATGGATGGGAGGGAGAACAGCTCAACATTGAACGGATTCAATTTTTAAGCGGTGCGTGTGGGGCACATACATATATATACATACATACATACATATACATATGTATAAGTATATAATATATAAGTATGCATAATATGAAGCAGTGAAGCAGGAACAAAAGATATGTATGAGTTTATTATTCACATGCAACTCAAATGCCAACCGCTGCTCAGTATGCATGACTTATGCAACAGGAATTCATTGGAAATACAAGCTATAATAATTATAATTAATTGTAAATAAGGCGAGACAGTTTTAAGCAATCACAAATCTATGTATATATATATAAATTAATATATACTTATAATCAAATATTAAATCAAAATCTGAGATAAGACATAGCACATACCAAGAAATATAAATAGAAAGGCTCTGCGCCCTGTTTGCTTATCACAGCAACAACTTCAATCGAACAAATTTCTTTATATGTATGTATAGTAAGTACACACATACATACATACATGACTTTATTTCTGCTTCACCTTTGGTTGATAAAATTAAAAGTACATATTTTCTAATAGGACTTCTGTGTGCAAGTTGCTATAAAATGAATCAAATAATAGGCGGACAATTGTAAAAGTATTTCATATTTAATATTAGATTAGTTGCTTTAATCTGTTTATTTGTTTGTTTGATTGCTTTTGTGCAACAACATTGATAATTGATAGTCTTCCCCAAATTGCGCAAAGTGCAAGCAAAGCAAAAATTTATGGCTCTGTCTGGATTAAAAGCATTTGCCAATTCAATGCTAATATATAGTATGTATTCAAATAATTTATTTAATGTTTTATGTGCAATGCAATGTCTCTGTACTAAATAAAGTAATTAGCCACTACAACCATGTTAATTTAATTTTAACATTAATGACCAAATGTGCTTTACAATTGTATTTAATGTGCTTACATTTAACGTAGTTTTTTTATACACAAACCATAAACAACCACACAAAAAAATGTATTTATATTAACATAGCTTACCATATCAAGTAAATGTAATTAAAATTGAAAAACAGCTGATGGTGATTTTGTTTTTTCTTTGAAACTCTTAACATTAAGTATTAAATTTTATGCGCAACATCGCGATAAAAAGCACACAAGTGGATGATGACTCAGAGTCGCAAAAGGCGCGCCTTTCACATTTCACGGCATACTTTCAGGCTGACCATGAAATTGTTTACTCACGCCAATGAAGCGGCAACTCTAATCTTATCTGCCTCTCATCGAAATCAATCAATATGATTTGTGACAATTTTTCGATAATTACTTCCGCAACAAATTCAATAGCGTGTGGGCTATTGGAACGGTCAGGTAGTTGGCCAGATAGCGGAAGTTGTTGACTAAGCAATTTGCTGGGCCTAATCACAAACATCTGCCCGCAAATATTCGAGCTACATATGAATCTATATTGGTACATATATAGTGTGTATATAACAACCGTAACTATCCCATCACAATGCAATGCTGTCATAATAGGCGACCGCAGTTTCTGATTGATGGCCCAATTGGAGCTGGAGACATAGAAGTACGAGAGAGTCTTAAGAAATTAGGATGTGAGCGTGAGTAACTAAAATATTCGTGATTGGCTAAATCTAAACGTACCACCAATTTAAAATATTTTTTGGGTATTTAATATGCATTCATTTGCTGAATACATATGCATATATTTGATCAAATAATGGAAAATATAATAACAAATGCAAATCATTTTTTACACCACGATAAAGGTAACGGTTAGGTGAACGAACCTCTATAGTTAGACTTTTATTGATTATTTCACTGTAGGTAAAATATAATTGATATTGCTATCAATTGATTATGGAAATAATACGTCACATCAATATTTACTTTTTCAATAAAACAAAGACGTAAATACTTGTAGATGAAAAAACATTCCATAAACACTACAAAACTACAAACAATCTAAAATTTGTTTCAAATGTAACCATTCTTGTTAAAAATCGATCTATCTTTGGCCAGAAAATGGAGTATTACTTTATCGTTTTTTCAAACTTTATCATAAAAGCCCCACCCGATCTATTAGAAATGCACTTGAAAAATTAATTAAATTAAAATAGATGTAAGTATTAAAATTATTATTACGTTGAGACCGCAAAGCTACCGAGAAAGCGCTCTGGTAATATTTTCTTAATAAGACTTATATCTTATGTCTATTAAAAAACATTTAATTAATGCATGTGGTGTGATAAATCTGTGTTCTTTCGCTTCAATATCTGACTTGTTTTTATGAATAGATCACAGTTGGTGTAATCAAGGATATGTACTATCAATGCTCTCGTGAGTTTTAATCAAACAAGTGTGAATTATGCCCATCTCTAGTGCAAAACTTTGCGGGGGTTGCTGAGGCGGATGATGTAAAGAATTCGTGTACGACGAGCGCCCGCTGGCAAGCCTGTTGCTCGTTAGTGGTTTGTGTGAATTTGACAAATAATTACGCAGAACAACCTGCTGTGTGAGAAGGGGAGGGACCACCCCCACCTCCTTCCGTCAATCAGGGTAACACGGTGGTGCAGCCTCACCTACAACACTCAGGCACACGCACACGCACACTCACACTCGCGCAGTAGGCGCACAATTCAATGCCAGTGACATGTGCGTTGCGACTGATGGATGTGCTTTGGATGGGGGGTCTGTCCGACCACCCGGCCGTTTGTCTGTGACGCGACAAATCGCATAATTGACCCAAATTTCAGAGCGTCCACAGCTACAACTACAATAAACAGAGCAAACAGCCGCAGCTGCAGCAGACAACAGACAACAGACAAGAGGCAGGCTTCATGTCGCCAAACGAGGCGAGACGAGGAAGGAGACCCAACCGAGGGCCACATGCAAAATAATCAAGTGTGGCATTGTCCGTCCGAGCGATTCGCCACCCGCCTGCATTTTTACAGTCGACACTTTTGCAGGCTACATTTTCTTGCCCAATTTAATTAGCCAAATTGAAATTGTTGCAACATTTTTATTTAAACCATTTACATGCACCTTTGGCGGCAAAGCGCACAGATAATGAAGATGGTGTTGATTGAACTGGCGCTGACAGGCGTGGAATTTCCGCTTTGATGTTGCCTCCATACCTCTGCCTGCCAACTCCCCCGTGTACGCCCCCAATGTGAATTCCAGCACTGCGAGTAATGCCCAAAAGTGCTGTCAATGCAAATTCAGTGACAACTGTCGGATAATTATTGCCAAAAATCTCTGCTCTTGCAAATTTATGCAACACATTCGAAAATGCAAAGCACCAGTAATAGCTTCTGTGATGATCGCCGGGGGTGGAGGTGGAGGTGGAGGAGGTCTGCTGCAACAAATTGCATATTAATTTGCCGGCATTCATTCGTTTAGCATTTTCGGTAAATCAATTACGCACGATTGTGCCGCCAGTCCGCAAGTTTTTCAGCTTAATTCACAGTTCCAGCGAACAATTTTTGGCAGCCAAACAATTTAATACGAAATTTCTCTGCCCAAGTGTGTGCGTATATATACGCTCATGTGTGTGAATGTGTGTGTGAATGTGTATGAGTACAATTCATGGTATTTTCGTAGCGAGCCACAAATTTTTCTACAAAATGCCAATAAAATACGCTACGCTGCCAAATTCCACTGACGAGCGAAGGTGATGTGAGGGCAAAGGCGAGGCCAAAGGCCAAAGGCAAAGTGCGCTAAAAATATTTCACACTTCCGCCCCAGAGAGCAGACGCCAAGCTACCTGAACAGTACGCGTCTGTCAGCGACGTCAACAGGATATGACATGGTTGGTTGGATAGGACAACGTCTCTCTGGTCTTTGGCTGGCTACTTGTTTCTACATTCAACACACAATTTTCAACAAAAACTTCCCGTTCGCCCGTCTTGCAAATTATTACATGTTGGTGTGGAGAGTGATTGCGGGTGGGTGAACCTAGTGAGGGGAGGGCATGTAGATTACATATTCGCCAACATATGCTCGTCGACATACTCCTGAACAGACCAACATACAGCAGACGCCTGCCAGGTCTTCTTCCAGTTCCTGCCCATGTGTGAAAAGGGTTGCCTCTGAAGGCTGTCTTTGGCTTTGGGGACGTCTTGTTGTGCAGCAGAACGCCCTCAACTATGGTAATAACAATTTAACGTTAAATCGATGAAACGAAGATGCCATAGAAATGTTTATCGTGGCATTTAAGACATAAACAAAGTGTACGCAAGTGTGAGACCATTTCCGAGGGCGGACGGAAAGAGTCTTGCCTTGAGCCTTAACTTACAATAAAGTCACAGCTCTCTGATCAGCAAATCTATGATTAAAAACAGGTATTTACTTATGTTTCAATTTATATTATTAAGAATAGTATTTTAAATAGTACGCAGTTCTTCAAAATTGCCGATCAGATATTTTAAAGATACACAACACACTCAACTTAGTTAGTTCATTTTGAGCAAAATAATGTCTTTCAGTTCAGTTCCTACATCAATGTATAATTTGAAGTTGTGTTATTAATATAAATGACTTATAAATAAGGACTGTATACAATTGAATCAGAAGAGTAATATGGGAACTCTAAGAATTGTAAGTAAATAATTTAAAATAAATTATACAAGATATAATGAGTAGAACACGAAAGTTGTGCCTGCTGCTTCTCTCCTATAGCCTTTTTATGTATTATTTCAGCTACAAGTATACTATATGTATATACTTGTACATACATAAATCGATTTAAATAAATCCTCAGAATTTGGTGCTAAGAGATGACCATTTCTATAACGAGACATCATGGGAAATTCCTATTGCAGGAATTTCACAATTTGTCCTTCTAGTATTTAAAATTATATTAGGCATGTATAGGAAAAACATTGTACCCACATGGGTTTTGATAATTATTAAGTGGAATAGCTAAAGTGAGGTGAGGATTATAGAAAATTAAGACTATAAAAAAAATATAAAAAATTGATCAATTAAACCTCCTTATGTATACATCGCAATTATGCCTATGTGTGTCTGTGTCTATACGTGTCAGTGTGTGAGCATGTGTGCAGGAAAAAGTTGACCCAAAACAGCAGCAACGACAACAGCTGAGGGCAGAGCTTCGGCAGATATTACATTGACAAAAGCACTAACGGGCAGTAATTGCAGGGAAAACTATTGAAAGGCTATTTGTGTGAATTGTTTCTTGATCTTAGGCAATACTAGCCCTTAACCTAAAGACATAGTTTTCGTGGGATTTGCATCATCTTTTATATTTTATGATTCGAATAAAACGTATAGTATTTACTTAGAACACAAAATACTTATAAAACAAACAGAAAAATAGCGAAATAAAATCCAAATATGATAAATAAAACTGTTATCGAAGCCCGCTCCCAATTAAGACTAAATTATGCACTATCTATATTAGGTGTTAGCATAAATAATTCGTATTATAAAATAACTAATCTATAGTGTCCTTGTGTATAATTTGTATGTAAATTCTGCGATTTAGTAAAGTTGTTCTTTTCTTATTAATCTTTAACGTCTAAATTATAAAGAAATTGCATTATTGTTACATATTCTATAATAACTTATGGCTTCATAGAAATATGTAAGATTTATTATTCCATACAATTTTATGATAGTTACTTCTTTTAAACGAATATCAAATTAGAAATAATCGAACTCCAAAAAATCATACATAAATCCATTCAAAACGTTTTACTGAAATGGTTAGGGATATGGATATCGGAGTACTTGTAAGTAACAACCTAGATACCCTCCAGAAAATCTTTAAAAAACAATCTCTCTCAATTCCTGACATGTGCCCCATTCGATTGCCGCCCGTGCAACAAGTTGAAAGTGTGCGCAAACAATGGACAACAATGAAGGCTGGCATTGAGCCCAGTTAATATCCGTTAGAAGCCGAGCCAGTATGGCCAGTCCCGTTATTGATAATCGTCGTCAGAACTCGTATCATGGCTCTGGACGGGGACAAGGAATATGCGGCATGCGCTGGTACACCAAAACAACAGGCGACAACATAAGTTCCTTTTCTTCTCT